AAAAAAAAAAAAAAAAAGCAAAAACCCATAATGGAAAGGACAAGATTCTTAGTTCATGATTTTCTCATAATCCAGGCTAGCATAAATATTTTTACTTGATAATGATGTCCTAGTAATTTGTGAGGAGGTAAATGTATTTGAAGATATTTCATTGTTAAATATTAGTTTCTGTTCTTTATGTGTCAAGTCAATACTCCATGAGTACTAAAGAATAAAGCAGTTTTGAAAACATGCCCCTTAAAACAACAAAAGTTAATTTCAGAACCAAACCAAGAAGTTAATCCTCTACCTTTCTATGGCAGAAAATATGTAAAGATGCAGAAATGATGATAAATGACATAGACTATATCCACGAGGAAACTTCATCACAGTTTTTATATCAGAGCAAGCAAGCCAGAAGAAGTGTAAAGAAGAGCATTCGGAAACTTTTAGGAAGATGTGAAGTTGTTTGTTCTCAGGGAGAGCCACTAGATAATACCTCTGAAGGACAAATACCCATAAAGGTAATTCCCACTCATTTGAAAAGTAAAATATTTGCTTGTCAGGGGAAAGATGCATCAGTGTGCTATGTCTGCAGTTTCGCAGATGGTGTCAGAAAAGAGGAGCCTAGCCTCCAACATGTTCTGCACTTCCTTCACATCCTCACTCCCAGAAACACCATGCCAGTCACCTTCTAAGGTATAAGTGACAATAAGTTAGACTACGGAAATAAAAAATCAGAAAGGGAACATACTTTTAACACAAGTCAGGAGAACTCATCAAAATACAGAGAATAAATAATAAAGACTCCTGGATTGGTTACAGTCAGTATGAAAGCAACCAGCATGTTTGTGTGCTTTAGATTTGTTTATTTTATGTGTATGAATGTTTTTGCCAGCATTCTGTCTGTGCACTGTGTGTGTGTGTGTGTGTGTGTGTGTGTGTGTGTGTGTGTGTGTGTGTGTGTGTTGCCCATGGAGGTCAAAAGAGGGCATTTGGTCCCTTGGAACAGGATTTACAGATGGTTGTTAGCTACTGTGTGGATGCTGTGAATTGAACCTAAGAATCTGCTCCTAAGAGCAAGAGTCGCATCTTACTGCAGCCGCATGGGGGCTTTTAAAGGAAAAACCCACAAAAGCCATAAGATTACAATTCCTATACAATTTCATTTCACAAGATCATGGTCTGATCACAGGGTGGGTACAGTCACGTCCACATGTACATTCTTCCTGAAACCTCAAGGGGGGTATCAGGACGGGAGTGGAGTTTACACAAAGGTCACAGTGGTCCTTCCTGGACCACCTGCAACTATCCCAGTCACAGTTGAGCACATCTCTTAACAGAAATCTCTTTACATTGTTACATTGTTACAGGGGTGGTTGAACAATGGCTGAGTCAGGTGGCCCTTGGAACTAGTTTTCTTTTTAGTTCCTTATTCTCCTGGGGCTTGGGGGGTGTAAGCCTGAAGGGTTAGGGTCTTTCAAATACTACTGGCTTCACAGGAATTGGGAAGAGTTTCTTCTGTTTCTGTTTTTTTTTTTTTTTTAATAATTTAAGAAGGGTTGACTGTAAATCTTTGAAAGTGTGGTGGGATTATGATGTGAATCCATCTGGGTCTGAGCTTTTTTTTTTTTTTTTTTTAGTCAGAAGAATTTTTATTACTCTTTTAATTTTCTCATTTGTTATGGGTCTGTTTAGGTTGTTGATCTCACTTTGAATTAATATTTTTGGTGATTTGGATGAACCTGGAAATTGGTGCATTTCTTTTAGAATTTCCATTTTTATAGAGGACAGGTTTTTAAAATAATTTTGACCACCTCATTTCTTAGTGTTTTTATGTGTATGGGTCTTTTGCCTGTATGTGTCTGTGCACTATGTCCTTACAGTACCCATGGAGGCCAGAAGAGGACACTAAAGCCCCTGGGACTGGAGTCATGGACTGCTGTGAGCCACCATGCAGGTGCTGGGAATTGAACCCCAGAACTTCTGGAATAGCAATAGGTGCTCTTAACTTCTGAGCCACTTCTCTATTTTCAGAACAAAGGCTGTGAAAGTATTCCTTTATTATGTTCTGAATTTCTTGGTGTCTGTTGCAATGACTCCCTGTTCACCTCTTTCCTTCTTTCAGTTTGTTGGGCAAAGGTCTGTTGATTTCTCTTCTTAAAGAACCAGCTCTTAGATTCATTGCTTCTTTCTATGGTTTTATTTGCTTCTATTCTATTAATCTATGGCCAGATGGACTTCCTTCTTTGATTGTCTGTCTGATGTCAGATTTTAGCCTGCCTTAGATAAGGCCAATGCCAGAGCTGTGTGGCCAGAGTTAGGCCAGACACAGCTGGTGCATAATCTACTTGACTGGACCTTCATCAGGCAAAGTTAATGTGAGCCATGGTCTGGAGCTATGCCTATGAGTGTGGATATGGTAGAGGTGGGAGGTGGGAGTAAGGGAGGTACTCACCAGCTAAAGTCAGAGTCTGAGGGTCCAGAGTAGGTCTTTGGGTGCTGAGATGACAGCTGTGGATGTGCCTATGGCAGAGGAGGAGGTGGATTTACCAAATTAAATCAGAGCCTGAGGGTCCAGGGTAGGTCTTTGGGTGCTGAGATGGCAGCTGTGTGGGTGGATGTGACTATTTTCACTTCTTAATGATAGGCCAGTAATTGTGAGTAGCTAAGCATTTATAAGGACATGCAATTATTAAATAATTAGTAGTGTCTATTTTTTTCTGTGTCAATATCTGATGACTACTAAGAGAAAAAGAGTTGTTTGAAGACATACATCTCAAAACAAAAAAATATGAGCAAATGTATATTCCATCTTTCCTATATGCAGAAAGTAACTCAAGACCAAGAAAAAGTAAGTGTGACAGTGAATATAAAAGTGTCCATCTTCAGCCTCCCTCTGAGGACTCAAATGAAGAAAAATGGGTGCGGCTAGTTGCAACACAGTATTCATTTCTTAACCAGTACCTCAGGGAAAGATTAAAGGAGAAGATGAAAGAAGGTATTGAAAACTCTGAATCTGTAATTCTCTTTCTTTGTTGCATCTTTGTGTGGTTTGGGAACCAAGAATAACTGTAGCCTCATAAAAGGAATTTGGTAGTGTTCCTTCTGTTTCTATTATGTGGAACAATTTGAAGAGTATTGGTATTAGCTCTACTTTGAAAATCTGGTAGAATTCTGCACTAAAATCATCTGGTCCTGGGCTTTTTTTTTTTTTTTTTTTTTGGTTGGGAGACTTTTAATGACCTTTTCTATTTCCTTAGGGGTTATTGGTCTATTTAAACATTTTATCTGGTCTTGACATAACTTTGGTATGTGGTATCTATCCAGAAAATCATCCATTTCTTTCAGATTTTCCAATTTTGTGGAGTTCAGGTTTTTGAAGTATGACCTGATGATTCTCTGGATTTCCTCATTGTTTGTTGTTATGTCCCCCTTTTCATTTCTGATTTTGTTAATTTGGATGCTCTCTATGATCTTTGTTATTCTGGATAAGGGCTTGTCTATCTTGTTGATTTTCTCAAAGAACCAACTCTTTGTTTCATTGATTCTTTGTATTGTTCTCTTTGTTTCTGTTTTATTGATTTCAACCCTCAATTTGATTATTTCCTGGCATCTGTTTTTCCTGGGTGAGTTTGCTTCTTCTTGTTCTAGAGCTTTCAGTTGTGCTGTTAAGTCATTGGTGTGAGATATCTCCAACTTCTTTATGTGGGCATTTAGAGCTATGAATTTTCCTCTTAGCACTGCTTTCATAGTTTCCCATAAGTTTCGGTATGTTGTACATTCTTTTTCATTGAATTCTAGGAAATCTTTAATTTCTTTCTTTAATTCTTCCTTGACCCATTGGTGATTGAATTGGGCATTATTTAGTTTCCATGAGACTGTAGGCTTTCTGTAATTTTTGTTGTTGTTGAAATCTAACTTTAAGCCATGGTGGTCCAATAAGATACAGGAGGTTATTTCACTTTTTTTTTATTGTATCTGTTGAGATTTGCTTTGTGGCCAAGCATGTGGTCAGTTTTGGAGAAGGTTCCATAGGGTGCTGAGAAGAAGGTATATTCTTTTGTGTTAGGGTGGAATGTTCTGCAAATATCTATTAAGTCCATTTGAGTCATAATGTCTCTTAGTTCCCTTATTTCTCTGTTAAGGTTTTGTCTGGCAGACCAGTCCATTGGTGAGAGTGGGGTGTTGTAGTCTCCCCTACTAGTGTGTGAGATTTTGTGTGCAATTTAAGCTTTAGTGATGTTTCTTTTATGAATGTGGGTGCCCTTGTATTTTGGGGCATGAATATTCAGAACTGAAACTTCTTGTCGGATTTTCCCTGTGATAAATATGTAATGTCCTCCCTGATCTCTTTCAATTAATTTTAGTTTGAAATCTACTTTGTTGGATATTAGGATAGCTACACCAGCTTGCTTCTTAAATCCATTTCCTTGGAAAGCCTTTTCCCAGCCTTTTATTCTGAGGTAGTGTCTGTCTTTGAAGTTGAGGTGTGTTTCTTGTATGCAGCAAATGGATGGATCTTGTTTTTGTATCCATTCTGTTAGCCTGTGTCTTTTTATAGGTGATTGAGACCATTGATATCAATGGATATTAATGACTAGTGATTGTTAATTCCTGTTATTTTTTGGTGGTAGTGTTGTGTGTTTCCCTTCTTTGGTATTTGATGGTGTGGGACTATCTCTTGCCTGTGTTTTCATGGGTATATCTAACTTCCTTAGGTTGGATTTTTCCTTCAAGTGCTTTCTGTAGGGCTGGATTTGTGGACAGATATTGTTTAAATCTGGTTTTATCATGGAATGTTTTGTTTACTCCATCTATGTTGATTGAGAGTTTTGCTGGGTATAATAATCTGGGTTGGTATCCATGGTCTCTTAGTGTCTGCATAAGATTTGTTCAGGACCTTCTGGCTTTTAGATTCTCCATTGAGAAGTCAGGTGTTATTCTCATGGGTCTGCCTTTATATGTAGCTTGGCCTTTTTCCTTTGCAGCTCTTAATATTTTTTCTTTATTCTGTATATTTAGCGGTTTGATTATTATGTGGTGAGGGGTGGTGGTTTTTTTTTTTTGGGGGGGGAGATCCAGTCTATTTGGTGTTCTGTAATCTTCTTGTATCTTTATAGGCATTTCCTTCTTTAGGTTGGGAAAGTTTTCTTCTATGATTTTGTTGAATATATTTTCTGTGCCTTTGAGTTGGTATTCTTCTCCTTCTTCTATCTCTATTATTCTTAGGTTTGGTCTTTTCATGGTGTCTCAAATTTCCTGGACATTTTGGGTCATGACTTTGGTGGCTTTAGTGTTTTCTTTAACTGATGAATCTATTTCCTCTATCGTATCTTCAACACCAGAGATCTGCTCTCCCATCTCTTGCATTCTGTTGGTTATGCTTGCATCTGTAGTTCCTGTTCGTTTACTCAGATTTTCCACTTCCAGCATTTCCTCAGTTTGTGTCTTCTTTATTGTCTCAATTTCAGATTTCAAATCTTGAACTGTTTCCTTCATTTGTTTAATTGCTTTCTCTTGGCTTTCAAAAATTTACTTATTTCTTCCCATTTTTGTTTGACTTTTCTCTAATTCTTTAAGGGAATTTTTCATTTCCTTTTTAAAGATCTCCCTCATGAACATTGATGCAAAAATACTCAATAAGATACTGGCTAACCAAATCCAGGAACACATCAAAAAATATAATCATCTCATTGGATGCTGAAAAAGCCTTTGACAAAATCCAACACCCCTTCATGATAAAGGTTATAGAGAGATCAATAATACAAGGAACATTCCTAAACATAATAAAGGCAATTTACAGCAAGCCAACAGCCAACATCAAGTTAAATGGAGAGAAACTCCAAGCGATTCCACTAAAATCAGGAACAAGACAAGGCTGTCCACTCTCTCCATACTTATTCAACATAGTACTTGAAGTTCTAGCTAGGGCAATAAGACAACAAAAGGAAATCAAGGGGATACAAATTGGAAAGGAAGAAGTCAAACTTTCACTGTTTGCAGACAATATGATAGTATATATTAGTGACCCCAAAAACTCTACAAGGGAACTCCTACAGCTGATAAACTCCTTCAGTAAAGTGGCAGGATACAAGATCAACTCAAAAAAATCAGTAGCCCTCCTATATACAAATGATAAATGGGCTGAGAAAGAAATCAGAGAAACATCACCCTTTACAATAGCCACAAATAATATAAAAACACCTCGGGGTAACTCTAACTAAGCAAGTGAAAGACCTATATGATTAAAAACTTTAAGTCTGAAGAAAGAAATCAAAGAAGATATCAGAAAATGGAAAGATCTCCCATGCTCATGGATAGTAAAAATGGCAATCTTACCAAAGCAATCTACAGATTCAATGCAATCCCCATCAAAATCCCAACACAATTCTTCACAGACTTGGAAAGAACAATACTTAATTTTATATGGAAAAACAAAAAACCCAGGATAGCTAAAAGAATCCTGGATAATAAAGCAACCTCTGGAGGCATCACCATCTCTGACCTCAAGCTCTACTATAGAGCTATAGTAATAAAAACAGCTTGGTACTGGCCTAAAAACTGACATGTGGATCAATAGAATCAAATTGAAGACCCTGACATTAATCCACACACCTATGATCATCTGATTTTCGACAAAGTCAAAACTGTACCATGGAAAAAAAGAAAGTGTCTTCAACAAATGGTGCTGGCATAACTGGATGTCAACATGTAGAAGATTGCAAATAGATCCATATCTGTCACCATGCACCAAACTCAAGTCCAAGTAGATCAAAGACCTCAACATAAATCCAGTTACACTGCACTTGATAGAAGAGAAAGTAGGAGGTACTCTTGAACACATTAGCACAGGAGACCACTTCCTAAATATAACACCAGTAGCACAGACACTGAGAACAACAATTAATAAATGGGACCTCCTGAAAATGAGAAGCTTTTGTAGGGCAAAGGACATGGTCAACAAGACAAAATGACAGCCTACAGAATGGGAAAAGATCTTCACCAACCCCACATCTGACAGAGGGCTGATCTCCAAAATATATAAAGAACTCAAAAAGTTAAACATCAAAACACTGAACAATCCAATTTAAAAATGGGCTACAGAGCTAAACAGAGAATTCTCAAAAGAAGAATCTCAAATGGCTGAAAGACATTTAAGGAATTGCTCAACATCCTTAGTCGTCAGGGAGATGCCAATCAAAACAACTCTGAGACACAATCTTACACCTGTCAGAATGCCTAAGATCAAAAACACTGATAACAGCTTATGTTGGAGAGGATGTGGAGCAACGGGAACACTCCTCCACTGCTGGTGGGAATGCAAACTTGTACAGCCAATCTGGAAATCAGCATGGAGGTTTCTCAGAAAATTGGGAATCATTCTACCTCAGGACCTAGCTTTATCACTCTTGAGCATACACCCAAGGAATGCTCAATCTTACCACAAGGACACATGCTCAACTATGTTCATAGCAGCATTATTCGTAATAGCCAGAACATGGAAACAACCTAGATGCCCCTCTACTGAAGAATGGATAAAGAAAGTATGGCATATATACACAATGGAGTACTACTCAGCAGTAAAAACAATAACAGCATGAAATTTGCAGGCAAATGAATGGAACTAGAAAATATTATCCTGAGTGAGGTAACCCAGACTCAGGACAAACATGGTTTGTACTCACTTATAAGTAGATACTAGATGTAAAGCAAAGGATAACCAGACTACAACTCACAGCTCCAGAAAAGCTAGCTAACAAGGACCCTAAGAGGAACACATAGATAGCCCAGCGAAAGAAAAATAGATGAGATCTAGATGAGCAAACTGGGGGTGGGAGGGTAATGGAGGGCAAAGAATGGGGGATGAGAACATGAGGAAATGGGAGGTTCGAACTGGAACAGGGACAGAGTGGGAAAGCAAGGAAAGACATACCATGATAAATGAAGACATCATAGGAATAGAAAGAGGCAGGGTGCCAGGAAAGTTCCCAGGAATCCACAAG